ATTGACCCTATGCCCTCTTGCCCTCACATGTAACCTGGAGGTCATTGGACACCCACCAGGTGCTGGCCAGGTGGTTACGCAAGAGCCTGGGCTGCTCCACCTTCTCCCATGAGTTCTTCTTTCCCCTCACGTTCTGGTAGAGACACAACTATTTTGTATCAGCTTCATAGATACACAAGAGTTTTGTTTTTTGGTTTCATTTTGTTTTTAAGATAAATGTATACTTAATTTTTACAGACCTTCAGTAATGACCAGTTGGATTCCCAGCAGCTTTTGGAAGCTGTCAAGTTCAAGGAAGGCTCTAACTCATCTCATTTTAGCTTCCCTTTTACGGTTGAACCACCAAAGTCAGAGCCCAAGCTGCCCTTCTGCCTTTCTGCTTATTGTATAGCATTTGTCAATATTAAATTTAATTTGTGCCGCTGACAGTGAGGGCACAAAGTTTGCTGAACTTCACTTCACGTGTTCAGTACAGCCAGAATTAGCAAACTGAATGAATTCAGCAACATTATCCACCCAAACCTAGGTCAGTTCTGCTGATTAAAAACATTGTAAGTTTAAGGGCTGACCTTATAAACACCTGCTTAAAATTTAAGTATTTCACCACCTATTCTGTCCCCTGTATCTCTTACATGGAAGAACAGATATCAATTATCAACCAATAGGTTAACATTAACAGGTTATCATCAGAAACAGACATTTACTGAGTGCCTATTGTGTGCAAGGCACTGTACTTGGCATGAGGCTACAAAGATAAAGGTGAACAGCCCCTGCTCTCAAAGAGCTTACGATCTAATTAGGCTAACAGGACACACACACACAAAGACAAAGGATAACCCAAGGTAGCATATAACATTAGGGCACTGAGTAGAAACAAACAAGAGTGCAGCCTTTTTTTTTTTCTTTGCATTTCTATGATGGCTCAATACCCTGAGTCAGTGGGAATGAGTGAACTAGAATAGAGCGGTTACTTCTGTTGATTTCTGAGCCTTGTGAAATTCTCCCACCTCTTTCCATTCCAAATTATCTTCTGGTATGTGCTAGAATGTAGGCAATGGGCTCAGTTTTCATTCCAAGGCTTTAGTATCATAGTTCTCTTTGAGGTTGCCTTATGATAAGTGACTCACTATCCTGGTATGGCCAGAGCTATCCTGGTTTTAGCACCGGTCTTCCCCTCCACTCCTCCCCTGGCTGAGGGGAAAGCAGTGCAGTATTTCTAAAGTACCTTGCCCTGTAGCCAGATGTAGTCCTCTCACTTAGCATGGTTATATCACTGGCAGAACCCATCCTGAATCTGTCCCCCAGATAGGCCTCTAGTTGAAAAAACTACAAGGGAGATCTTAACAGCCCTCAAAGACTGCTGGTTTAAGAGCACATTGTAGACAGAAGAAGACAATCAGGAGAGAATGATAGCACAAGATGAAATGAGGTTCACGAGAGAAACAGTGAGGGTGGAAGTGATTGGGTCAGATATGATGCAGCCATGTTAACTTCACCTCCTAACAGTGCAGAGAGGGAGAACAGGAACATAAATCCTTCTTTCAGAGTAGGTCTATTGGACAGTTTGAATCATTACCTAATAGAAAGCAAGGTATATTTCTGAAACAAGGTCATGTCTACATAAGGGCAAATATTTGGGTCTATTTTAAATAAGTACATGAATGTTTAAATAACACTGTCTTAATCCTAACAGAATTTCAGCCTTCCCCCCCACTTTTACTTGGCATTCAGTTAGCTTTTAAATCAATATTTTAAATCTTTGAGGAGGGTTTTGATTTCAAAATGAAGTTATTTCCTTCCATGTAAATGAAATGTAAATAGATTAGTAGGAGAGAATTTGAGAAAACAAAGGTAATCTGTCTTGAAAAGTGTTGTTTGGGATCTGATACACGTTATCTAGTAGTAACCTAAGGATTCTGAGAGACCACATGCCAATTTCTCTTTTAGGTACAGTACTTTGTGTTTCACTTTCATTAATTTTTTGAAGAAAAGCTCTAACTCTGACACTTTAGGAAGTTCCTGAATCGCCTTGGTTTTATGTCTAGCCCTTAGGAGCACATACCAGGGTCAGTGAAGCACAGGGACTTAGTTACCAAACACCCATTAACCTGAGTGGAAATCACAGAGCAAAGTTCCCACGCAGCACACTGAATATTTACCTCCTAATGTTCTTTTAATGTTCGCTTTCTTGGGTGAATATTTACTATAGAATATTAAATGTAAGATTCCTCCTTTCATGGGCCATTTGAAATGATTGATTTTGTTTGTGAATTCCTGTATCTTTGCCCATAATGACTATCTATTGTAATGGTCTCTGCCAAATGTCGTTGCACTGAAATACCAGACAACATGGATCCGTCCATCTGTGGCTTTGTATTACTGTGGTCTTAAAGCTAAGAGGAAGCTGATGTCACAGCTGAGGGGAGAAGAAAAAGATATGTAACATAACAAGTATGACTTAGGCTTCAAACACAATCAGATACTGAAGTCACTGAGGTCTGTAAACATGGTTTTATAGTCACCTTTTATATGTTGAGTGGTGTTGAATGGTATTTCAATAGTTATGAAATAGTGGCAACATAAGAATTCAGTTGCCCGCATCCAGGTCCATCAGCACAATCTATCAAAATTCTTCTAGGCATTTTCTTTAAATGCTGTAGTAAAACCACTGCCTCAGTGATAATTTCTTACATTTATTTACATCATGTTAAAAAAAATATAAACTTACATACTCACACATCCTAGCTATATGTATATTTAAAATATTTCCAGTGAAGCCAGAAATTTCAGAATTTGGTTGTTTTTCACTCTTTCAAGTGTTCAAGAAGGAAGAGTTACAAAAAAGATGAAGCTATCATAAGGTCTTTAAAAAACAAACACACCCTAAAACTTAAAGATAACACAGACATTTAAGGTATTATTAGATTAGTAATTTAACTACCTCTTTGCATTTCTCAAGATGCCGTCCCAATTTTCCATAAAAAAATTTGTTAAAGGAGCTATTTATATTTGCACAACATAATTTCTTTAAGTGATGGTGAAGGTGGCCTGTAAGTCAATTATCTAAAATTTATATGCTTTTCATTTGTTGATAAAGTATTTTGTGTTCAGTCCATGCCGCAGAAGAGATGGTACTGGAATAAAATTATTTTACAAACTATGAGAAAATTTATAGGACACATTTCAGTATGTTTTGAACAGACATTTCAACTGTACTGGCTTTTAATAGTTCAAACCACGCCATGATCATAACAACTTCTTTTTGCATTATAAATATCTAGACTGTGTTTGCATCTCAACAACAATATTCCATATAATTAATAGTACCAGTGAATGCAAGGACATAGAATCTTAGTACTAATTAAGGAAAGGGCAAAGAAGTGGTAATGTGAGACAACTTTAATCACAAGCCGGGTCACGTTTTGAAAAGCAATGTCAGTCTTCATGATATTTGCTGGTGCCTTCAAATTTGGCATTAGAGAAACTAATGCCTCCTAAGTCATGGGCAAAGAAAACACTCCTATATTTTTTAAAAGACCATTTTTGAACAATATTACTTGTTTAAATAAAAATCTTTCACACCAACTGATCTTGGATCTGAATAAAATGAGTCCTTCATACTGCTCCACGCCAGGGAATGAATGATAGTGAATATAATATAAGATTTGCAGTGAGTGAGTCAGTCCAAATAGTTCACAGGATAAATGAATGGCATGATAGGGAGTCTCCTTGTATTCTCTTCTCCTGACAGACTCACAGAAGTGTGGTCCCTTACCGTTGTAGCCAGGCAGCACCATGGAAATTTCCCTCTCCCTCTCCTTCTCTTGAAAAGTAGGGGGCCAGGGAGAAGGTATATTTTTAACCACGAGAAGGACATAGGTAGGAGGGTGATATAAAAGGCCCCCTAGAGGAAGCTCCTGCTATGTAGGACCCCCACAATATAATGGCACCCCTATTATTCCAAGTTCAAAGTCCTCCAATGGGTCAATGAAAGGCTCAAAGAAATTTAGGTTTGGAGTGAAATGTAAGAGGTCATCTAGTACAGTGACATCATTCTGCAGAAGAGGAAACTAGGGCTTCAGTGAAGTGACCTACATCAATTATTAATAAAGAAAACTACCTTTAAGTTTCTCTTCTTAGTATCTTTTTGTGTTAATGATACAGTATTTGGTTTTCAACTTTCTCATTTGGAGCATTTCTGCATCTTGGAAAACATTACAGCTATTCTTGAAGCCTAAGGATTCAGAAAAGGCAAGACAACCTTTCCTAGCCCAATTCTAACTGCACGCTACCAGTGAGCATTGCAAGCATAGTAACTGAGCCCTCCGCCCCCGCCCCCGATTCTAGGTCTTTTCTGACCAGCAGTCGGGATTCAAGAGTAAGGATAAATTACCTAAATAAAGATAAGGATAAATTACTACATAACAATCTATAAAAATACTGGCCTAGAGTACACTACAAAACTCTCGATAAATAAATATGGGCATTTGCTTTATGAAAGTCAGTGGAGATGTGCTCTTCAGAAACCATGTCCACACTTTCAGGCTGCTTTTTACCAATCACACACACAGGGTCCAGCAGACGACAAAGGTTGTAGGTCAGGTCAGGATACAACTTGATAGAAAAATGTCTTTTGACGCGGCTTTTCTATAAAGGAATACAACTAATAAATACTGTTGACTTGCTCGTGTTTCAGTTTTGAAGGCAACACTTAAAGAGATCCAAAAATGTCTTTAGCCGTGGCAGCATCACTGAAATGTGTTCTCAGCTTTTGAAAAGGAGAACACTCATTAGCATGTATTAATTCTGGAATTTTCCTGTTAGCCAACCGCACTGCTTTACAGTCACGTCTTGTGGGCATCTGTACGTGGTACTTGTTGAGGAGTGAAGCTATTTCCTGCCAGTTCTGCTCCTCGGTCATGCCTGGTGGCTCAGGAAGTTCAGCGGCCTGGTGTCTGATACAGTGGGTGCTTGAGATTTCGATCTGCCCCACTCGTTCCTCAGAACACAGGTTTATTCTCAGGATGGTTCATAGCAAGTGATTCCGGTTTCCAGTCTGGTTGAAAAAAGTGAATATTGAATGTCCGTGCCCAGTTCTTAAAGACTCGTTTCTCTGTGATGAAGCGGTGATGACTGCCCTTCCGTCCTCGCTCATGGGAGAGGTACATTGTACATTCATCTGGTCCAAAAGGTTCGTAATAGTGATAAGGGACAGAGGGGTGATTGGGATCCCTGGAAAGGAAAAATAAGACAAGTGATTAAAGCAAAAATAAAAAGATTTCTTTGACCAACTGAGGTAAGATGTTATCTTTAATAAGCTGATAAGCAAATCATATTTCAAGGTTAAATAAATTTCGACAAATGTTTTTTCTGATGTTTAAGCAATAAGAAAGGAGAGCGGTTTTGAGGCTGTGAAATAAAAGCACTAACCATCAATATCAAACAAAAAATTTAAAGTGTGCTGCAGGATTTTTCAGGCTTTTGGGATTCAAAAACTGTGTATTATTAAGACCCAACTAGAGTTCTCGTTTCTATTCTTGTACCCATATAGTCTAATTACTACAAGAAATTCTAGAAATATTTCTAAAGCAAAAACAGATCATTCTTCTTCCCTGTTCCAACTCCCAAATCATCCAGAGACTTGCAATTACACTAAGAATATGGCCTTGCCGAATGTTAAATGATCTGAATCCTTTCTAGAGTCTTCTCCTAACCCACCCAGCCTTGTCCCTTATGCTCCAGCGATATTGGCCTTTCTGGTCATCATCCCTTCCAAGCTTGTCCCTACCTTGACGCCTCTGCACTTGAGGGCCACTGTCTAGAACGTTACCTCACCAGTTCACTCCTCTCACCTTTGGGGATCGACTCAAATGTATTTTCCTCAGAGAGGCTTCACCTGACGCCCATCCCCTTCGTTTCCTCTCACTTGGATTTATTTCTCTATAGCATCAATCACTGCCTGGAACTGCTGTTGGTGTCTCCTCGTTTACTGTCTGTTCATGAGCGCAGACCTTTGTCTTGTTCCTAGCAGGTGTTCAATAAATAATTTTCGAATTTCTGTTGTTTAAAGAAATTTATATGGAGTTAGCAGCTACGCAACAAGCCTCTAAAGACAATTTCTTCTCCAGGTATGGAACATTGATGATCTTAGTTGATTCCATGGAAGAGAAAGAAGACGTCAGGCACGATGCCACCGTTTTCCTTCTGTTGTCTGGAAACACGATAGACTCAAATCTAGTCTCTAAATCCAGAAATTCCAAATCCTCAATCCCTGTTGTGTAGGCTGACTGGCCCAATATTTTCATGTCTCTATATCCCTGTCTCTGCTTCAAATGAAAACCTTGGCTCATTTCTTGAAGGTAATGTGTGCTCTTGTTGTAGGGTTACTAAGATATCTAATATAAATAAAACCCAAAGAGCCTTGGTATCAGACTGGCTTTCATTCTGTGCCAGTTCGCTCTACCTCTTCTGTCTTGAAGTTTAGATCATAAGATTATGACATCCCAGTAGACAAATCTTCCTACCTTGAGCTACACTCACTAATCAGCCTTGTGGCAGAGACGAATGCCCTTCTTAGTCTCTTCTTAGCTCTTCCCTTAAAAGGGCCAGATGTCCCAGCAAACCACCATTTACAACCTTGTGTCCTGGGGTTTCTTCTTTGGTCACTGGGGCTCTCGTGTAAGCACAGTAACTTGGTTTCCCAAAGATGTTCATCCTGCTAAACACTTATTTGTTTTCTTCAAGGGAGATCAATAAACAAATGGCTTGTAGAGTAGCAAATTTACAGGGGTCAGGGATCAAAGTCTTTTATCAAGAGGGGTGTCAAGTTTGTGGCTCTGACAACAATAAACCTTTGTGCTGCCTCTCTTCTGAGGTTAAGGTTTTTTTCAGGAGTAGATTTATTTTTGTCACGTAGCATTTAAACCTTCCTCACCCTGGGTTGGATGCTGCGCTGAATTAATACTTTGCATCTCTGTTACGTTAGTCTCGGAAGTAGCTCTATGTCACATAGTGAAACATCAGCAACAGTTCTGTCTAGTTATTACAGATACCACTTATTTACTTACCCTAAATAATGGAGTCGCCTTTAAATTTTAATAGAAGGTGTTTTCAATGCAGAAAACGCTTGCCAGGAAAAAATTAAGCTGGGACTATCTCTTTGAAGAAAAATAAATAAATAAAAAGACATAGAATCTTGTGAGACAAATATCCCCAAATTCACATGGTATAATTTGGGAAGCCATGGCAAATTCATGCTGCCATGGTATACTTGGGGTTAAGCTTTTATTCCAATACAGGTCAGGTTTTAAATCTGATTCATCCAAGTTTTGGACATATTCTTGGCATCGGTCTGACTAAGGAAACAATTAGATTTCTAAAAATAATCATGCGATTGATTTGGCACCTAGGAACAGAGGGAAATTGGAAACCAGCCGAAGGCTGCTATAGGATCGATTTCCTTATTCAGGATGACCATCTCTTTGGATGAAACCTCATCTGGCTTTATATTGATCACCTAAAGAGAGAATTAAATTTGCATATTTGGTAAATTTAAATCTTGATTTCAAAGGTGTCCAAATAAGTGGGGGTTGTCTGCATCCTTTAAAACTCTGTCCAAACGGCAGAGACGTGCTTTGTGGGGCTGAGAAGGCAGAGCCGAAGCAACGGCAGGAAAGCCCTCCAGTCGGGAGCCTGCTGTCAGGGATAATCCACCGTTCCATCCAGAAAGCCCTTCGCCGTTTAAGGTCATGCTTCCTGAGTTCTCTGCTCAAACCTGACGTTCCAGAGGCTGCTGTGATTTTTCTTCCTTCGCCTGATCCCAGTGAAAACAACAATGACTATCAGCAGAATTTCCACTTCAGGAGGCTACTGTTGTAAAGGGAGGGTTCGGGCACCCCGTCCTTGTGTTGGGCCAGGGGAACTGAAGGAGGGAAGGTGCCAGGGGCGGCGTGATAATTACAGAGCCGGTTACCCTGGTGGCGGCCTGTTCCCCGCGCTCCCAGGGCCGGTGTGGGAACCAATCCTGCAGAATAAAGTGAAGAGCGGTTTTTCTTTTCCTTATGAAGGAAGCAGGTGGGGAGAGTGAGAGAGCTAGCATTTAGTGCACGTGGGGAGCTTTAAAGAAATACCACTGTCTGTGTTCCACCTCCACAGGTTTGGGTTTAATTGATTTGGAGAGGGTCCCAGGCATGAGTATTTTAAAAAGTGCCTTAGGTTTTAGTATCAAAATAAATAATGGCAGTATTGGATTAAAAAGAAACACCATAAAATAAAATAAATACCCATGAGTCCACGTGACTTCAGTAAACAAGTGAATAATTAAATTAATGAGGGAAATGAAACAGCATTTTCTTACAGAAGAATTCCAATGAATAAATCTAGAAAGAATGAGGGAACACAAATCACCATTAGAAGAGCATAGTAACTATTGCAGGCAAGATGCACCAATGAATAGGACATTAATGGGAATATAGGTGGGAGAAATAGGTTATTTGCATAGATTATCTCCCCCCAAGATAATTATAAGTGACCAAGGGAAAAATAGTAACTTTACAGTGAGTAAAGCCAGTAGACACACTACCTCAGCCAAGTGATAAAGGTTAACATGGCCGGCAATAAGACATTTTGATCTCATGTAACTCTTGATATGAAATGCTGTAAAGGGCTTATCGCTTCTGTGATATCCTTCCCAGTAATGTATAACCTCAATCTAATCACAGAAATACAAAGTGAGGGACATCCTACAATAATGACCAGAATTCTTCAAAAGCATCAAGGTCACGTAAGGTAAGGAAAGACTGAAGAACTGTAATAGATTGGAGGAGTCTGAGGACACTCGACAGGTAAGTGCAAAGGTGTCCTGGGGTGGGTCCCTAAGGAGATCAAGACATCAGTCAGGCAGCTGGTGAAATCTGAATAAAGTCTGTAGTTTAGTTAAGAGTATTGTGCTGTTGTTAATTTCTTAGTTTTGATAATTGGACCATAATTATGCAAAATATTAATATTAGGGGAAAGCAGGGTGAAAGGTATACCAGAATTCTGTGTATTATTTTGCAACTTTTTCAGTAAGTCTAAAACTATATCAAAACAAAAAATTTTTAAAAATACAATAATGTTAAAAAGTTCCTTAGGGGGTTCTAATATACAGCCAGGTTTGAGATGGCTGATTGAATTAAATACTCGCGAAGCCCTCGTTCTTAACTTACACCATCATCTTTACTTCCCCATCAGTCTCAGGCAAGTATCGCTGCTCCATTCCATAGGCGAGCATCCGGGACCCAGGTTGAGTCCTGTGCCTGGCTTTAAGCACATAGCCTCACTCAGGGACCATCCAAGAGGCTCAATTTGACTCTTTCAACCCAAAACCCAGTGATCGGTACTGTCCATGGACTAACGTATCTAATCCTCACAAAGCCCTAGTGAGAAAGGTACTCTCATTATTTCTATTTTACAAATGTGAAAACTCATGCACAGAGAAATCGAAGAATTTTCAGAGCCCGATTATGGACCAAAGCTGTCCTCTTGAGAGTGGGGCTTTGTGTCTTGGAAAAGCTCCTGTCCCACCAGGTGTGTTTGTGCACTAATGGCACCCCAGGTTCCCACTGGGGCTGGCAGCACATGGTTGTGGACAACTTTGTCCCTGCTGCATTTCCCAAGTGCTTATCTATAGAGGTGCCCTGTGCTCGGTGCAGCCGGTCAGGGTGCAAAGCAGAGGCCTGATGCTCGTTCACAGTCCTGCCCCCGAATGTTAATGGCAGCAGGAGTTTGGAAGCTGTACAATTTGAAAGAAACCTCGTAACATTAATAAGCAAGGGGTGGGGGTCATTCCATTTCCTGGTGTGATCTAGGTTAACCCTGCTCTCCAGGTTGCGGCTGGATTATCTATAAGGAAAAAATGGTGTCTTTGCTTCTCTCTAAACACTTTCTCCAAACACACTTCTATTCTTGGCGTGATACTTGGCATAGAGTAGACAGTCAGGAAATGTTTGAGGAAGGGAGTGAAATCAATAGCTGTCAAGTGTCTATGTTATTCTGAAATTGGCTTGCATGGGAGGCCTCTGGGAACGCTATGCAGCCTTCAGAAGGAAATGTCCCTGCAACAGGCCTTCCAAAACATCTGCCTCAGGCCGATGAGACCCACTGAGCCACCTTAGTCTGCTGCCTGATTTCTTGTCTTTGGAGCCTCATTGGAAGGTAAACTGCTACACATCTTGGAAGATGGTGGAATAATA